GTGTTATGCTGATCTGGCCACGGGTTCTCCTTGAGGAAGATGTTCGCGTCCTTGAAGCCCTTCAGGAACACCTGGAAACTCCCAAGCTTCTCAGGAAAGGGCTTCCTTTTCCTGTAGTATGCGCGGCGATCCCAGAAGTCGTAATGGAAGGATTTTGAGGACAGACCGACGACGTCGGTGTAGGGTACGAGGTTGGTGCGCAGCTGGGTATCGAGGACGTACGCGGCGGCTTCGGAGATGTAGGAGAGGTTGGGAATGAGGCAGGCGCGACCGAAGAAGAATGGAAACAGGTTGCGATGTATCCACTTGGTCCATTTGGGATTGCGCGACGCGTAGGGCTCTTCGTCTTTAGGCTTGAACACGCCCACCACCTTGCCCTGTGTGGTGCGCGCGAAGTAGCTGCCCGAACTACCCTGTGTAATCAACAGGGGATGCACATCCATCTCGATGGCCGTCCTAACGCTTTCCACGATATCGTCGAATTCGAGCTTCGTCAAGCGATCGGAGGGCACGTCGTAGTCGAATGTGAGCGACTCCGCCGTTGCCGGTCGCACCCAGTCTGGCGCCTGGAAGACTGAGTGATGGATCTCGAGCGTCTCCTCGTCTGCCGAGTCTTTCTGCTTCTTGATCTTGAACTTCTGCGCAATCTCGTCGGCCCATCGCTCAAATCGCGCATTGATGGCCTTTATGTCCACGCCAGAATTGGCACGTTGCCGTCGCCCCGACGGGCCCTTTCTGTGATTCGGTGAACTCGCGCCTGAGCCATTCATGCGCATATTCGAGTTCCGTTGCGGTTGTATTGGTGCATATTGCGCGTTGGACAGGGGATTCTGGTGGTGGTCGCCCTCGAAGTCGCTGCCGGAGTCGTCTTCTTCTTCCTCGGCTTGGGCTATTCGGGCATAACCCGAAGTTGGCGGTCGTTTTGATTTCGGCATTGTCGGTTTGGGGGAGCGAAGGAATCAAGGTCGGTCGGAGTTTGCTGTGCGTGACTTGGTGCCTGCGATTATGGTGAAATGACGACCGCGGACACAGCTGCTGCAGGGGTCTGAGGCGCTAGTGTTCCGCTGTGGATCATCACATGCAAGACGCCCACACCGTGCATCTGATTCTAGATCGGCCATATTCCTATATGCTGTGGGGTATCGAAGTCTATCTGCAGTACGCTCAAAGAACTACTCAAGAATTCGCGGCATCGATCCATCCTCTAAAAGCTATCGTCAAGATCCACTTGCCGTCTTACCACACTCGGACTGTCCTCGTCCATACCACCCGTTGAGTCTGTAATATCGCCGCCAGCTGTCATGAGCAAATCATCCACAATGCGCTTGCTAGCTTCTCGGGCTGTTCCGCGTGTTAGCAATCGCTTGATATGTGAGGAGGGGAAATCTTACCCGGCGTCTGCATCAGCTTGCTCTGTGGAATATGGAATTGTATCGTCTTCGGAGGACTGAAGTCAACATCATCGTCCTCTTCGTCGCTATCATCGAAGATTGTGCCGCCAGTCCGGTGGATACTCATGGGTTGTTTGCCTTTGGCAGGCGTCTGTATACTTATGCCAGGTGTCCGTGGCGTCTTCATGGGCGAAAAGATGTCGGCGCGTAGTTGTGGGGCTGGAGAAGAGGGAGGTGAAGAATCGAAGTCTAGCAACTTGGTAGCTGCGCTTCGTGGCGTAGGTGCTCCGCGCTGGCCGCCGGTGCGAGGAGTGAAAGCACCCGTCGGTTTGTACTTTCTTGGACTGATAAGTGGTGTAGCTTGTACGCGGTATGTCTTGTCGAGAACGCGATGGAGTAGCGGGTCGTTGTTGACGTAGGATTGTTTCGTGGCGGTTGGCTGCATGAAGGGTGATGATTCAAAGCCGCTCATGTCTGGAAGAGCTTGCGACTTGCCAGGCGTGACAGGCTCCAGCTTCGGTGTCTTCGTGCCGCCAATGTTGGGTCTAAACTCGGATTTCAATGCTTCGTATGGCGAAGACATGCCAGCGAACTGAGGCTGCTCCTCATATTCGCTCTCTTCCTCGTCCTCGTGGTGTTTGCCTCTTGTGGTGGAAGGTGGAGCCCGCGGAGTGCTGTGACCGAGCGAGGGCGAGTCGAAACCGAGAGTCGATTCGGCGTCTTCTTGTGCGGACAAGGGCCGTGGTGGTGTGGTCGTCGTTCCAGTCACGGTATCCTCGTCCTCTACCGTCTCGTCATCGTACGTTTGTGACTGTTCAGTCTCGTCTTGTACAGCTGATTCGTCTTGCTCGGGGGCTTCGTAGCCCGAAAGTGAGACATTGGCGCTGGCCTCGAAGAACTGTTTCCAGAACTTGGAGCCTTCCCAAACAGCTTCCGAGTGTTTTCCGTATTGTTCGACGATCGGCAGGATACCGGTTGTTACGATGCGATGGGCGCGGCTGAAGTTTTGGTCGATTTCTGCTTGGGTCAGTCGCGATGGTGGGGTGCTCGACGCTGTGTTTACCTTGTAGTGTCAAAGTGATGGACTGCTCTAGCTTCTCCAGTTCCTCTGTCAGCGACAGATTGCGCTGCGGCGCCATACTCATGCGCGACATGGTGTAGTTCGCGTCTAGCAATGGTAGGCGCGGTCGGTGCCTGACGCGCTTTGTCGTGTTCGGGACGAAGACTCGCGATTCCTTGGCACCCCCGAAGTTCCCCGCACCTTCACCCAACACTAGCTCTCCCCATCACGCGTCTGTCGTTAACGATGCTTTTCTCAAACTCGACTCATACCTGCTCGAACAAGCGTGCGGAACCGTACCGCTCGACTCGTGTAACTACTGCACTCGCACTAGAATGGCATGGTTACCTAGGTATCAACGTCATTCCCGGACCTCTTAAACCCGATGAGGATGCGTAGGTTTGCGCCATGCAACCGACATGCCCATGGTACGAGAGGGGTTATGCATACGCTACGCCTGTTCCGCATGCCCGGTTAGCCCATGTGAGCTTGCCGGTATGAGGAGATCTGGGGTAATGTACATGCATATGTAGCCGCTGAGGTGCATGCTTGACTGCCTCGTTGTCTCCTTAGTTTACCTCTCCTTCTCTTCGTCGTATCGGGCTCTCGACTTGCTATCACGCCAGAACAACAATAATCATGTCGTTTCGTCTGCCAACAAGAACAGTGTGTCAAGCTGTCCCCAGACTTGCAAGTATACCACGAGTGGCTTCCCGAGCACCACGATGGGCGCGTAGCTACGCAGTCACTTCAGACCAGAATAGAACAGCCATCGTAACGGGCTCTGCTCGCGGAATGTGAGACTCATGTACTTCATGAATGTACTCAATAGGGTTGACTAACCTTTGACAGCGGCAAGGCCATTGCTCTTCGACTAGCCAATGACGGATACGATGTCTGCATCAACGATATTGAAGCCAACAAATCTGGCGCCGATGAAGTCGTCAAAGAGATACAAGGCCTGGGGAGAAAGTCTTTCGCGTACACAGCCGATGTTTCGAACTTGAGCGAGGTTCAAGGTCTGGTGAAAGCATCTGTCTCGGAATTAGGACCTCTAAACACGATGGTGGCGAATGCCGGTATCGCACAGGTCAAAGCACTTCTCGATCTTACGGAACAAGATCTCAAGCGCATGTTCGAAGTCAATGGTAAGTGTTTTTCCGTACAGCATGAAGACAGTCCATTAATACATTTGCAGTATTCGGCGTCTACAACTGCTACTCCACAGCCGCCAAGCAAATGATCTCGCAAGGCAACGGCGGCAAAATCCTCGGCGCAGCGTCAATCGTAGCATTCAAGCCTTTCGCGCTTCTGTCTCACTACAGTGCCTCCAAATGGGCTGTCCGTGGCCTCACTCAAGCTTTCGCCATGGAAATGGCTGAACACAAGATCACCGTGAACGCCTATGCGCCAGGCATCGTTGGCACAGCCATGTGGGATCTGATTGACGAAAAGTTGGGTGAGAAGACAGGGGCAAAGAAGGGCGACACGATTAAGAAGTACACCGATGAGTTGATTGCGCTGGGTCGGACTAGTGTACCAGAGGACGTGAGCAGTACGGTCAGCTTCCTGTGCAGTAAGGATAGCGACTACATGACAGGGCAGACTATTGTCATCGACGGTGGTATCATTTTCACTTAATTCATGCTGATAGTTGACAACAGTAGCTCTACTGTCTACGTACTTGTGTCATTTTCCATTGCTCGCAACCAGTTGATCGTCTTATCTATTTGACAGGCCACTTAGTACCGCCAGCATTCCAGTGACAACTTACTCTATATAAATCCCCGCATGTTCAGTCGCAATACACCCACCTACTATCATCCCAAAACCCTATTCATTATCACCACAAGACAAACATCATCATGAGTCTCTGGCATGGCGGTGAGTTTTATGCCTTGTCTGGTATAAGGCCTCAATACAAGCCCTGGGATTACTATGAATTCGACCCTCATGGTCGTCTAACTGGCCCTCTGGGTCACCAAAGTAACCCTACTCCACTTGCCGCACGTACAAATCCTCGCACGAGGGTTAGCCATAACGCAAATGTACCTGACGCCAGACTCGCCTCTCTTGTCACAGTTGATGGATCGGTATTACATAGTTGGCAGGTGCGTCTCCTGCATGCTGATTATCTCCTTGACGGATTGGGTGGCCTTCAGCTATCAGAATTACAGGCTTCAATAGTTAGGCTGAGAAGCTTGTTGGAAAACGTAAGACGGGGAATTGGTCGCAGGGTGAGAATAGATTGATCGTCGGGTCGGGTGTAGGATGCTAGGTACAATCGCTAGATAAACTTCATCACACTCTGCGGTCACATGTTTGGGTACAGATCTGCCAGGCTGTTTTGATTTGTTTGTATCTTTTCCTATCTGTTCTCGTTCGTTCTAGACTCTTCGGTACGGGGCTGTTTGTGTATGGCAAACCTGTTAGATTTGGTTATTTATGCTCGCTTACATGTACCGTCACACCATATCAACTACTTCCAAGGTTGTTAGCTACCTCTATCACATATATTCAAGCTCTAACCCAACACCCAACGCCAACCCATGGCCCCTCCAAGTATCCGTGAGCTGCTTCGTCGACGTGGAACCAATCAATCTGAGCAAGATCCAGCGCAGTCACCGCATCAGCAGAGCGCGAACGCAGAACAGCAAGCTAGCGAAGACCGGAAAGCCTCTGAACTGCGCGCCAAATACCTAAAATGGTTGGATGAAATGGGAGCGCTCGACACCCTACTAGTCAGTGTAGAGAGTGTCCCCATGTCGCACGATGGATACGTGAACTTGAAAGATTTCATTGAGCAGATGAGAACTCGTATCGAAATTGTCAGGAGTGAAATCGACGAAGAGATTACGAAGGGATGTCCGTGAATGAGAGCGGCCAACACCAACGGCTGTACGACGATGGGATAATGTGTCATAGTTCTTGGTTTGCTCATTCTGTTTGCATCTTGATGACGGCTGAATCGTCCGTCAGCAGTCGCTTAATCAGATTGTTATCTTTTCCTGTGTCTTCTCATTCGTTGGTATGCAATGTATAAGTAGTCGTTGTGCCTACGAACCAAAGCTAACTTCCTTAGCATCCGCCTTCATTCAACTTAGTCCTATACAACCTTGACCTCCGACTACGACCGGGAGAACCTGCGCTTCTACAAATTCTGATTCGACTTTGACTGTCACTAAGGCACCATCATGGACCCCTCGCCCCCAGGAATATTGGTACCCCAGGAACAAGAGATGATTTACAGTATTGCAGCACTCAATGGAAAGAGTATCACGCCGCCAGCGCTCATACAGCGTGAAGTCAACGCCTCGGTCATCCAGTTGAACAGCTGTGACGACAACGGAGTTTTCTCGAAAGTGATAACATACCAGTACGGTACTAGGACGGACCCTCGACTACATCCTGTGGTTGACAAAGTCAGGAACGTCCTGAATGCGCTTTATTCCAAAGTAGTTGGGCTTGAGGAGAGAAATGTGGCGTTGCAGAACGAGTTGGATGAAGTGCAGAATGCTTTGGATGGGGAGCGTCGAAAAAACATGCGCCGCCAAGACTATGACTACAGTCCTCAACACTACTGATGTGAGTAGATGTTGAGAAGAATTCAGTGGGAGACAAGACCGATTAAAGCTCTGTTACTTTCGTGATGTACCAATAGATCATCATCTTTACAATTTTGGCGCTCGTGTGGACTTCTTCATCTCCAGCGTGACAAGGACTGCGAGGTATACCATCTTTTCCAATTCTGTTCGACGACAGCTTGTCAATACCGGCAAGTATGTGTGCTATGACTTTTGGTCGGTAGATGCAGACGTTGCTGTGAGTGATGAAGCGAGCGCTCGCACATCGTCTGTTTGATCACACGGCCACGTCTTCATCAACGACTGCCATGTGTTCGCAACAGCAATAACAAACCGCGATCGTTATTATATTACTTATCAGCCGAATCTAGCCGTCTCGTCGTTCGTCTGCCACATCATCAGCTGTCGAATCAAACGCGATTGATGATGATGAAGTCTTTGAGCATAAGTACAGCTCATCCGAGATCTACAACTCTCATCTCGTTGACACTTCATCACCTACATTCCGCTTCCTGTTGCCTCGGAACTCTTGAACACAATGAGCCCTCGCAAGAGCATGAAGAAGGCTGAAGAACAGCACCCTCCAGCACCGTTTGCGGAGGACGATACCGCTTCCCGAGGTGACGACGAGTTTGAAGGCCTCAGTCAAGAGTTCATTGACGAGTGTCTGGCGGCCTACCACGCACTGGATAACCTGGACCTTAACGACGACGAAGAAGAGAATGTAAACGATGATTCTTCTGAAGACTCACAGTCCACTCCAGGTGAATACGGGCAAGAGCGGCGCGGCGAGATTGAATTTCTGCGTTCGAACGGTAACGAGCTTCCATCGCAATTCCGGGTAAACTACCATGCCGCTAATCAGCCACCGCAACATCCACCAGCTCCGCTCCAGCAGAACCCGGTTCCTGTAGCTCCACCTCCAACGTTCATCTTTCGAGATGCTGCAAACCCCGCTCCTATGCCTTTTGCAAATGTGCCGCAAGCTCTCCCTGCATGGCACTTTGATAGGGGAATCCAAGCAGCACTCCGACGATATCGTCGCTTTCATCGTCCAATTGGCGGCTTCCCCGAAGAACGCTACCTAAGGGCCTCGGCACCCGGAAGATACAGTCGGGGTGTTGAAGGCATGCCCCGCGATTTGTTTCCTCATAGGTCTGTGCCGATCATGCGTCGTCCCAACGGAAGACAGGACGAACGAATGCCGTTTGCGCCGCCACGCCCTTTGGACAGAGACATGGCTCCTCCCACAGAACGCGACCTCCTGTTTGAAATGTGGGCCGATGCCTTTGTTGAGAGTAGAAGGATGGAGCAGGATATGGCAGCATTCAGGGAAAGACTCCAGCGGCTGTACAAATTCTGCTACCGGTCTTAGCGTTGAGGTGGACGCACTTGGCTTGTGACTTTCGTTTTTCCAAGGATCTCGGTAGATTTTCTGGTTGTCATCTCGTTGGCTTAGTCGTTCGCTCATTTGTTTGTCGCTTTCCATGACGACGCGTTGTCATCTACGTGTGTACTTCCTGTAGCAACACAACACTCCTTATCTGTAGCCTGTTAACAACATCATTACTAAATCCCCATTCATCGTTCATCGCGAAAAGTCCACTACATAGCAGTCATGTCTTCCTACCAAAGATCCAGCGCATCGCCCTACTATCTTCCGCTTGATCCTCAACCTTACCAGCAGCGATATGCGCGAAGCCCATCTTCGCGAGCGCCGATGCACAATCCCTACGATTGGATGTATATGAGCGACATCCTTCACAACGACATGCGAGCGATGATGGAGGACATGCGGACAAGGAGAAAGCAGTGGCAAGAAGAGAGGGAGAAGATGCGCGAGACAATCCACGGAGGCGGCGCGGACCAATGCAGCGGTAGTATGATATGAGGCGTCCCATGATGAGGTCAACAATAGTTGTCTGGAGATGAATAAGGCGTGTGTTGGTTGGGAGGAGTGTATGCGTTGTATACTTGATTGTGCAATTTCGCGATCAATATTGGGCTACCACTAAGCGTTGCAGTGGTAGAATGAGTTTCTTCAATACCTAGCCGAGTTTAGCATGGAGTATATGTGAAAACCCGGGACCAACCGCCGGTCAGATTTCGGTATCACAGATCTGAGTAAAGTTAGCTACCCCTCGAACGCTCTGTATTGACCAGTGAGGGCGTGCACCAGGAGCTTACATGACAGCATGTGTCGACATACCTTCATTTGATGTCCTGTATTACGTATAGGCTGCGGTGTCCTAGGGAGTGGCAAGCCAGGTATATGCTATGCGGTTGCAGATAGCCACGACATGCCTAGAAAGCGGTGATTGACGTATAAGTCATGAGCTCAGCAGTAAAGACAGCAATCGCCAAGACAATCGCGGAGTGCTGAATAGTATAGCACATCCGGGATGGCCGTACATTGGTCGTACAAGCTACGATGGTTCCACGCAGGTAAGAATGTCGGGGAATCGGCCCGTGGTAGCCAGCCGACTGAACAACGGTCAAACCAGGTGGCAAAAAATGCCTGTGAGGTAACTGGGAGTAACTTGGCGTTCGTTAGTGAGAGGCCGACATTGATGATTCGCAAAAGAACGATATGATGAATGAAGCGGCGACATGGAATATCGGCGATGCTCTGGTGGCATTTGAGATCACAAATAGCGGACAATTCCTCCGTATGCCAAACACCAGCCCCTCTTTGGTAGCATGCAGATCGCTTAGATTCTCATCGTGAAACCCTCGGCTACGTAAGACAGACGAACGGGGCGTACAATGGTTTTCGTTATGATACCCCACGTCTTGGGTAACGACCGATCGGATATCCCGATAACGTTTGCGCGCGTCAATCTCGGGTTTGCTCTATCTCTGCCAGCAATGAGGAATGTCGCAACCGATACAAGGAGTGGTGAAAGCCGGCCACATTACGTCTTGTATTCAGCATATGACTTCGAGTCTTTCCAGGCGCTACACAAACCCTGATGCCTCACTGCACCTCGGTACAGTCGTCTGTCGAGGAGCGCGTTCGTTCTTGTGCGATCGACGCGGTCGCGTTGTTTGCTCAACTTTGTTAGCGGTCGGCTAGACAAAAAGACGTGGCTGAGCTTTTGCCTCCGCCCAGAAGCTTGGGTGAATGAAGAATAGCTTCCGATGATAGACCGCTCCCGCAATGACAACACAATGCTCCTTATTGGTAGACCCTACGCAGTCTATCGTCGCCCTAGGTCAAGACTCACGATGCGAAACGTTTGAGTGGCACTGGTGACCCTGGAGCCAACTCAACTCCCGAATTGTGAGATCCTGCTTTTGGCACACGTGGACCATTCTGTCTGCCTCAGGCGTGCTCTGTCTATGGTATAAGATCAGCTCATACTCATCCGTCATCTTCTCACAAAATTCCGCACATCATTATACCCTTACTTGTCGCTTGGTTTTGCGACAGGCATCGTTTCTACCAGTCGCGATAGCATCGAAGCGATGTATGAAATTGCTCCTTTCAAACGGCATAAACGACATGGCATGCGGGGATACCAATGGCCAGCTTTCGATCTAGGAGGTTTTGGCGGCCATGGTGGTATGGGTGGTCTGGGAGGGTATCCAGTGTGGGATACCGGCTTTGATACTCCATACTATGACGTGCCGGGCTCAGTCGAACAGGCGACGCGATCACATGTTGAGGCCCAAACCGAGTTTGAGAAAGCAAAGGAAAAGTACGAGGAAGCCAAGAAGAAGTTCGAGGAATGTGAGAAGAAAGGTAAGTAATCTCCACGTATCCATGTGAAGCATACGCTGACTTTGCTCCTGTGCAAGTGGAGAAAGCCGAGCAAATGCTGAACTTGGCGAAGCATCGTGCTGGAGGTTGGTGGAATTGATGCAGTCATTGTTGAGTGGCTGCTGGCAGCACAACGTGAGTGGGGGCGAGGAAAAGCCCGTTGGTGTCTCAAGCTCCGGGGATAGACGACCCGTGTAACTTTGATTTCGCGTTGTTCCGTTTGGTGGAGATCTTGTTTTAGCCTGTAAGGAGCTGCAAATGCATCGTTGGCCAGGAAGAGATGAATGGATGCGCCGTAAGCTAAGTAAACTTGAGCTAGAGGCAAATGAAGGCGCCCCAGCCCTACACGTATGTGTAATTACATCATACAGTGTGTTGTATAGAGACCGGTGGCCACACGATACTAGCTAAGGTACATGCTATGGCGTCTGCGTTTGGCGCGGCCGATCGTGGTGTGGGTGCTATCGTAGCAGGTATGTATTACGTTTGGACATCGCTTTCGTTTCGTTGTTCGTCGTTCGTCGTTCGTCATCTGGCTGATAATCTGTGTTGGTCAAATCAAAATCTTGGACATATAATTGCTGCGTCTAGGCCTCCAGTATGAGTGCAACCTGGGCAGTTATTGCACCAAAGCGCTACGATACCTTCCAACATGACCGCTCATGCTGCTTCAACTGCTCGCGAAGCTCAGGCTTCCAAGGCCACAGGTGTACCTCGTGCACGACCCGCTCACGAAGAAGTCGAGTATGATTCTGAAGCTGAAACTTTGGTCGAGAGTGAGTCTGATGATGACGGTGATGCTCGTCCAGCACCGGCCAACAATCAGCCTGCAGCTCGTCACGAAGCTGCCCGGCGGCTTCCAGCTAACGAGCCCTGCACGTCTTCTCAGGGCGACATGAACGCAGCGGTCCGCGCGCAAAAGGCGAAAGAGATGGAGAACGCGGTCCAACGGTCCGAGTCGCTCATTGGGGGCGCTGGGCGAAAGGCATGATGGAAGAATTTCTGGCCAGCGTAGATTGGCGGTGCGAGCCTGATCAAATGTCGATTAAGAACTTCACGCGACAAAGACTGCGGTGCGAAGCTGGCAAGAATTGTTGAAAGCGAAAGATGGAGAGGGAGCTCCTGTGTGACCGCAAAGACGCGTGCGCGTCGAGTATCTCGCGCTAGTATGTTTGCAGCTTAGATCAACCACGCCGCTTCGTGATTCAAATGTTCTGTCGTCTATCCCCGCGCGATCGCGTAACATCTCCTACCTCCCTGTGCTTCACCCATTTCAACGTGTTACTTGTCATATAGGACCTTGTTCCATCATGGATTCGGCTCCGAGGCCACCCTCTCCGCCTACCTTTAGATCCCGGGTTAAGCGGTATACGGAAGACACCCGGAACGTAGCGGCATGGCTTCGCCAGACCGCTTTGAACTGTGGATATGCCGCCAGCACTGCATCATCAAGCGTAGAATCTTGTAACGGAAAGAAAGCCGAATATCTCATCAAGACGTCTGAGTTCATTCCCATGGCTGAGGCCATCGCGGCGCACAAACCCCAACCCACGATTCCGCAAGATGTATTAGCCACAATTTCCCGAGCTATCAGACTGCGCCGCAGAGAAACCCGATACGTCAAGTTATTCGGCGCGAAATGTAGGCAAAGCCAGCTCGGAGACAGCACACATACCCATTTCACCGAGAAGGTGCTGGGCAAGGTTCGAGACGTGCTGCGGCCAATAGTCCAACCTACTGCACCTGAACCCCAGGCAACTACCGCATCGTCACTCAGCGAGAAGCTTGCTTCGTTCTTCGGTTCTGAAACCGACGAAGCCGACAATATCAGCGATGAGCCTTTCAACAATCTCACACCCGTACACATCGACTTCGATGATATGGAGGTTGAAGACGAATTCTTCTTGGCTATTGATGCCTTCATGGAGGACGTTTTCGTTATGCGTCAATACGTTGAGTACATTTGGACTATGTACAAGGAATCCGTGATGGAGAACAACGTCTGCTCGCTGTTGACGAATACAGCAATAGATGTCGTTCGTCTAGCTGAGAATGAATTTGCTAAGCTGATCAAGCGACCCAAACGCTTTCCGGCAGACAAATTTCCTGTCTGGACGCTTCCAGCATTATTGTTCTATAAGCGGACCCCTACGCTGGAAGATAGATTTACGTACGAGGAATTTTCGGGTCTAATGCCAATCAAGCTGCTTCGCAAGGACGTTGAGGACCAGAGCGATTTCGCCTTGTTCTCGGTCTTTTCAGGGCTCAAATGGTATCTCTACACTACTCCCGAGCAAGGTCCCTACACGCTTGACCCCGCTCGATTCAAGCAATCAGAGATGAACTGGCACCCGCACCTGCCACGGGTCGTCGAGATGTGCCAAATGATGCAGTGGCAAGCCGGGATTCAGTTCTCTCCTGAGTTTGAAGGCTTTCCTGACGGCGTTGCTGAAGACGAAATCGCCAGAGGTGTTCGGTATATGACTAAACACAGAGAGATTCCGATCTGGGTGCAGTTCGCTGCTCAGACTTATATCGACATTCAAGATGTACTGGACAGTCTTCTGGATGCGCCATTGAAAGAGCTGCACAAGTGGGTGGCAACATCCAGC